TGCTCGATTCCATTATTATTGTGGACTTCATTTTTCACAGTGTCGATATTTATATTCTCCCGCTTCCTGTGTTCCCACTTCCGGCGACACCAATGGATACTTCTTGAGTTGTCTACTGTGCTGTTTTTTGGGGGTTATATTTTCATTTCTACTGTTGGCTGAGGAAGGCTTTATGCCGAAACGTCCTTGTTTTTGGTCCTGTTATCTTATTCAAGCTTCCACATACCTCGTTTTCCACATACTAAGCTTGAAAGCAGTCCTTTCATTTATATTTTCTACGCCTCTGGACTGTTTCTATAAAACAAAACAAAGTTTTAGGAACCGAAGGCACGTGCAGTATTTTTACATTTTTTAAAATCCTTTATATTAACTTCGCTTTTGTTGGTGGCTGGCTGGCTGGCAAAAATCTTCGGACAGCTAAAATGACCCCATACTTGGCACATACACTCGTTGATGACAATTTCATCGCCGCTAGAGAAAACGACCCTATTTTTGTGATCAATGTTTACTTCTTTTTTTTAAAGGAACAGGCAAATAACTTTATAGCAGAGTGAGTAACCTACAGATCAGAGGAAACTTTGAAGAAGTTTTAAACATTGTATTATCAACATCTGTTTAGCTTTGTTCAAAGTCATGAGCGCAGTGGTGGATTTACTTTAAGACGAAACGAACCATGACTTTTTGGATAACAGATCCCTTGGGGCGCCGTAAAATCAAACCATTGAAATTATAATGAAAATATTAAAAAGATATATTGAGCTTAGATTTATATTTTTTTGTTAAATGTACCGGTACTTACAATTATACAGAGGCGTAGCTAGAGTGTTTGGCGCCCGGGGGCAAGATTCATTTTAACACGCCCGCTTTTTGTTTTTTTCAATTCTCAAGCCCATTATTTTCATCAATAAAATAATATCAAAGCCCATTTTGGCGCCCCTAACTAGCTGGCGCCGGGGGATATCTGCCCCCCTGCCCCCCCCCCTTCGCTACGCCTCTGGATTTATAAGCAAACGAATCAAATTGAGGTGCATTTAAAGTTAACTTTATAAAATCGCTGCTTCTCCCGGGCTCTTACATTTGGAAGTGATTAAAAGGTGCAAGGCGTAATTTTATTTGACTATCAATATACTACCCAGTACTCATGATTATGAGATATTGAAACTATAAATTCTGTGTATTATAGTCTTTTATTCTGGCCCAGTTAAATAGAACTGTTGGGAGGAACAAGAAGAGCAATGAACAGGAAACAAAACAAAGCCCTTAACAAGAGCAGTAGTGATGAAAATGCAAAATTTGATTGATTTTTTATTTGATGACACAGCAAGCTTTAATGTGACAGGTGAAATAATAAAGTCCAACAACAAAGCAACCAACAGTTTGCTTTAGCTTTAGCCTTCCTTAGGCCTTAGGCGCCCAAAAATTCAGTTAACATGTATTATAAGTTGGCAAAAAAAAAAAAAAATGAGAGAGAAACACAATAATGCGATATATTTTTACTAAAAACACTCCAAGTATTATTTTTTTAAATTAGAAATAAACCAAACAAACGAAAAAATCCAGGCTCGTCGTAGTGGCGTAGTCTATGGCTGAACAATGTAGTTACGACGGCAAAATTGTAGGGGTAAACAGGTACAGGTTTGCATCTTGCCTAATCTCCACTGGTGGAGTAAAAGTAGGTGGTCGGGAACAAACACTTTTATAAGAAAGGCGGGCTAAGTCATCTTTGAGTTTGTTCCCTAGGACTTACACTTGGAACCTAGACTCAGGTTGTGCAGCTGAGGCACGACGAGAGTGTCAAGATTAACTTAACCTACTACTAAGCCGCTAAGTGTAAATTGGATAAAGGGTACCTCAATTTAAATTCACCGCAAAAGTTATCATTACTGCTATTCTCTTCTATGCAGCTATATCCGGTTTAATAAATAGAAATGCTTCTACAGTCAGGTCAGATCATTGGAGAGCATACAATGCAATTGGTACCACTCATCGACGGTCAACCATTCCCTTAACTTTGTAATTGATCCGAAATCAGGTCCCAATACTCAACGCATCGAACGTACGGGGACATCGGCAAAAGAGAGAAACAAGCGTCACAATGGCACACACAGACGTCTGCTCGATTCTTATATGTGTGAGTTCTTGTGGCGTCGACGTGTTGAAGCAAACGGTTTCAATATCTTCATCACCATTCTTGACAATAAAGTGCAACTTTGGCCACCACAGTAGCGGAGGACTTTTAAGGAAGTAAATAGGTTTTTATTCAAAAGAAGATTTGTTTTATTGAAAGTGTGAATGATAATAATTTTTTGCGGTGAATTAAAATTGAAGTACCGGGAAAAGAGTTAATGCGTAAATGATAAATAAAAGTCAAGGGCCAAAGGAATTTCACCAACCGCAAAGCACCACAAGTAGCCTACTCAACAATAAAAAATATCTATAGCACAAAAATATGATTGTATTTAGTTAAAATAAATTGAAAAAAAAAAGGTTCACAAAATCAGCAACGACGCATATTAATCAAGTAACCTAAAGATATCGAAGCGTTTAATAATTAAAGTAACTTACCCTGTGAACTTAAAATATAATAATTTCGCATTTTTAATTAAAACATTAGTAATATAAATATTAATTGAATACACAGGACCAGTGTTTCTTTCAGGCATCTCTCTCTCGGGGGGGGGGGGGGGGGGGGCCCCGGGGGTCTTTCAATTCCCCCCCCCCCCCCGGCAGTAATAACACTATTTAAGCAAGTGTTCCGTACTCAGTAGTCGAATTAGTGTAGAAAAGCAGTGCTGTTGGCATGGGCCCACTGCGCACTTGCCCAGGGCCTCACACCTCTAGGTGGCCTCATGTTCGAGGGAGCCTCGTGCCTCTTGGGGGCCTCAAGCCTCTAGGGGGCCTCATGCCTTTAGGGGGCATTGTGCTGTCAACATTATTAGTGAATACTGAAATTTTAATATTTTTGGCAATTTATTTTTATTAGTATTTTTTTTAAATTTATTCTCACATCAATTCAATTTTTTTTGTACTAGCTTTAGAAGAAGCTTCTTTTCATAGATTGTCAGTTGAAAAAAATATAATATTCATATTCTTGGTGGGGGGGGGGGTTGGGAGGACTACATCAAACCTATGACAGGCAATTCAGGCTCATACCAGTAAGAAGCCAGTATAGGAGCTGCTCATTCCTGCCCAAGACAATCAGGGACTGGAACAAGCTTTCAAAAGGAACGGTTGAGGCGACAACACTAGAGACATTTGTGCCACAAGCCTTCAAACTCCTAGTGCATGATTCCCTCACAAAGTGGCACTGGAAATCAGTGAAATTTCCTCATCAACACCAGGAACAGAAACATTGCAAATCCCATCTACATGCATAGGAGTCAAAATGATCAATAAATTGATCGTGGGCCCTTAAGATATAGAAGAAGAAGAAACAATCTTGCAAAAGGCACCAAACATTCATTATTTAGTATCTAAAATGAAGAATGTTATAATAGTAACACACATTCCAAATAAACTTTTTAAGTTGTTGCATTTGTTCGAAAATTCACGCCGTCTCTGTTTCCCTCGGATAAATCACATATTAATAAATATATGACGTCTTTTGTAAATAGTTCCTTTATTCTTTTTTATACATTTAGATCCAATTTTTTAATGACCTGGTTTAAATAGCCATATAAATTATATACTTTTTCTACAAAACAGCATTTTTCTCATATTATGTAACTGTAAATCTTGGGAAAACCTATTTAAGTTTTGAATTAAATCCAAAATTATAATTATTAGACTAACATACTACTAGATTGTATGTCGTTTTTTTAAATAACGATCGACAGTTTTGAACTAAATTTATAGCCTAGGCCTATAGCCTATATACTTTTTAATTTATATTCTTTCATTGATGAATTAGTTTTAACAAATAACAAATAAATAGTTTCAGATAAAATTATGTAACAATATTACTATTTTGGATACAAATTTTTTAAAAGGGAATTTTTGAACTCATGCATTTGTATAATCAAGGGAACTTAAATTTCAACTAGATTCTTTTCTGATGCTAACTTGGTTAAGTGTAGAATGATAATGATGCAAAACTAAATTCATGAATCACTTAAATACATCCCATCACTTCGAATTTATCAAACATTTCCTGGAGAGGGGCTTAAACTGAGATCTCACTGAAACATTATCCCCAGTTTCGTTCGGCGCCAACAGTACCGACACATTTAAATCTTTAAAAATAAAAAAATAATTATAAAGCACTTGTTACAAGTAAATATATAGATTATTTTGAACGGGCAAAATTATTATTTTCCTTTTGTTCGGTATACGTAGTTGACTATAAAGATTATAGTTACCAAAGTAAGCTGAGCTAAAAAAAAAAAAAAATACCCTCAGGGGGTTCCAAAAAAATAAATATAAAGAACTTGTTACAAGTAAATATATAGATTATTTTGAACGGGCAAAATTATTATTTTCCTTTTGTTCGGTATACGTAGTTGACTATAAAGATTATAGTTACCAAAGGAAGCTGAGCTAAAAAAAAAAAAAAATACCCTCAGGGGGTTCCACTTGCAGAATGAATTTATGGAAATCTACGACTAAGGCGGTGACGACGAAGTCACAGCTGGCCCTGTGCCTCAAAATTCCAAATTATCTTTTTACGGCCTTGAGTATATAGAGGGTAAGGGACCACAGGGACAGTGCATTACTTCCCCACTTGCCTCTTATAAAGACGACCCTACAGGCTACAGGGATTGCTCAACAGTTCCAAGATGCCTAGATCATGTGAGACATAATATTTAAACTTGTCAAAATCCACTGGGTTTGAAAGAAATTTCCCACACAAAGCTGTAATTAAGTCAATAAATTTTAAAAAATATATACTATTAGGATTAGATCTAGTATTAATTTGTGGGTTTTTTTTAAATCTAGATAGGCCTACATCCAATTGGGCAACATAAATAAACCGTATCTTTGAAGAAAGAAGAGTTCGTCTTGTTTACCAATGGCGCCGTGAACAATAAAAGTATTTAAAGATGCAGGAAATGTACTTTATTTTATCTCGTACAGTTTGTTAAATGTTTGTTGTTTCCCAAAAAAAGACACCAAAGACTGTATTTGGCTGTACCCGGTATTTAACTTAAAAATAATTATAATCATTAATTATTAATATCAAAACATTTTTAAAAAGCTTTTTGATTTGCATTGAATAATGTAGTGCTAAAATTACTAAAACTTAATATAATAAAAATTTATTATGTTGGCTATCTTTTAATTTTTAAATTTAAAAGTTAAAATAAGCAACTTATTTACAGCATATATACTATACATTATACCCCTCAATATACCTCTAAAGGAAAAATTGCACCCATGGGGCAAACCACTTTGATCTACTTCTACCTTTAATGGCTTTACCTTTAAAAGTATATTAAAGTTAATATTAATAAAGGTTGATTTGTGGGCCTATTTTCTTTGTGTAGTCTCTGTCCGTAGTACATGGGATTTTATGGTTTAATAAATTATAAATTCACTATTAATTAACTCTTAAAAGACTAGATTTTTCAGTTTTTGTATGACCTTGAGCCTTGAATACATCTTATTATTCAATGTGTCTCATGGCTGTAATTTTGTAGCTACCTACAAGTATTAGATATTTTAAGGGTAATTGGATGCTCTTTAACTTTAATTGATATTTGGTGTTTGTTCAAAATATCCTTGCTAAAAATACTAAAATTGATTTATTATTTTTTTTAGTTTTAGGCAAAAAATATATTTTAAGTCCACAAAAACATAACATTGCAGCTTTACAAAGAAGGAAAAAAAAGGGGGGTTCCAATTACAGCAATAAAATTGATATTTTATTAGAATGTATTCAATAATACAATACATATTCAAATTTCAAAAGAATAGACTCATACATAAAAATGTTATGACTATTTGAATTCATTGTAGACAATATATCATTCAAGGAAATGTTGCCCCAAAAAGTAAAAATAATTTTTTTTAAATAATAATTTTTTTATAATTCATCAAATTATCACTTAGAAAATTATTAGTATTATTTTAGAATAAAAGTTAAGAAAAAATCTTATTTTAAGAAATTTAGGTTTGCACCAGGTGCCCTGTGTTAAATTCTTTCACGTCCACTTGGAATTGTGAATACATTTTAAAAAATAATAGAATTAAGAGCTGGGTAAACATAAATAAAACATGTACTTTTGTCACTAAGCATCATCTAGTAACCATAGTTAATGGTACTTAAGTGAGTTACAAGTTACTGTTGTCACATAACGCATGTAATATTTTCCTATGCCCCTGTGAGGAATCCACGGTAACCCAGAGTAAAATCAGTGCACAGGTTCAATGTTGAATATAGCATCCTTCAATAAATAGAAAAAAGTGCTGCACTGGTTGCACCAGTAAATAATATGATTTTTGGCGCCCCTTGTTTTTGTGAGTATCACAGTTTCAACCAATATTGGCACCAGGATACTTAATCCCTTTTGCTAAGGTCCTGCCCATAATGCAATGCTGTGAACATTTTGGGAACCACTGTGCTCGCCAAATAGCAGTGAAACACTGAAAACGTGACACATTTTTAAAACTTTGGCCTCTAATAATATTTTGTTGGTTGTTCTAGGGGGGTGGGGGGGTTAAAAAACTCATTGTACATACTCATAGGCTGACGGGAAGAGATTGGCCCCTGAATAATGTAAATAGGTCCTACTTCTGTCAAAATTTTTTCCTTCAAACCAAATTTCTTTTGTGCAAGTTTTTGGATACAAACTAAATTCTGCTAGCCAAAAAGTTATTTTTCCTACTTTTTATTTACCTTCCACAGATATACTACTACAAAGACTACAATGAATACAGATATAGGATTAAAATCTCCAATGGATCTACCTAATAGCTCAATATTCTTCAGTACTCTGGATGAGAGGGATGAACAAATAGCTGAGCACTCAACATCTAATCTTTTAAATGAGGATTCATCCTCAAGCATTTTTGATATGTTTTGTGCAACACCTAACACACAAACATTTCATGCTTCACTACTGGATGACATTGATTTAGATCTTCAATGTGATGAAGACAGCATGGATTTATGTGAACGCAAACCATTGGATGAATCCAGAGTCGACAATTTAACTGAAAATCAGAAATCATTTAATAAAGAATCTTTGTTTATGGAAAAAGAATTAAGTTTCCTCCAGTATGTCTCAGATCAATCTTCTGGATCACATGATAAATTTAGTGAAATTTCCCTTTGGTCCAAATGGTCTTTACCAGAAATATCATTAAATCCAGTACAACCCCAAAAAATTATCAGATGTTTCGTTTGTCATATTCAGTTCTCTTCACAGAAATCTTATTTGAAACATAGAGAGGATAAACATATTAAACATGAGTTGTGTCCACATGAATGTTTGCTGTGTTGTGAAAGCTTTTCAACTAAAAGATTACTAGCTAAACATAAAAAAGTTCATCATTTTAAAAAGCAAGGCAAAGCAAATGTGTTATCTCAATGCCCTCAGTGTGCTTTTCTCTCAAGGACAAAATCTCTTCTTAAGGAGCATATCCGAGTCAAACATGAGCATAAAACTTTCAGCTGCAGTCAGTGCTCATTCTCATGTGTACAGGAGCGGACATGGGCCTTGCATCAGCTGAAGCACGAAGGCAATCCAAAATTTGCATGTGACCAATGTGGAAAGCTCTTTCTTGCTATGAGCATTTTGAAACGTCACGCTCATACCCACAATAAAGTTAGAGCTCATGTATGCAAAGTTCCAGAATGTGGTAGAAGTTTTACTATAAAAAGTCGACTTACAGATCACATTAGAACTGTTCACAATCACAAAACCCATAACCGAAGAAGAAAAGAAAGGTTTATCGCACACCAAAACTCTTTTAATCAAGGAGGTAAATTTAAAAGCCAAATGCGGACTATATGTGAGGACGTGTCTAAGGTAATGCAACATGAAATTACCTCTACAGACTTGGTAAACACCACCTCCACTAATGAAGTAGTTGTCTATGATATTGTACTCTCTAATGAAAATCTTAAATTGCTCCATAGCCCAGATGGTGAAAAAAATGGCTCTTCAGCATGCACCACCGTATTCCTCTCTTCGGAGAAAGAGAGTGGCCTACCTGATTCCAAAGATAAAATGGGCTCTGTTTCTACCGAAGAGCTACCTGTGCAGCAAGAAATGGATGAAAAATGTTCACATTCTGTCTGTCAGCCAAGCAAAGATAAACCTGGCATGTCTAAAAAATTTGTTTGCTTATGGGAGGGATGTAATAAATCATTTAGGGATAGGTATAATCTTCGAACACATATGTGCACGCACTCTGGTGAAATGCAAAGATCTTGCACTCTTTGCAGGTACAGATGCATACAAAAGTCTGCTATGGATTCTCATATGAAAAGTCATGAAATGAATTTTTACATGCATGCGCAGTGATTTAATATTAAAATGTAAATTTCTCAAAGAGTTGCTTTTGTTTTGTTTTGTGTGTTCAAATACCACAGGGTGTCTGAATTCATTTCATGTATTCATCAGGCAATCATCAGTTGACAAGGCTGGCATGTAATGATAATTGAAATCTTCTTATGTCGAGAGTTGATGGTGCATGAGTCTTCACAAACACACTGAACGCAAAGTCCTTTGACAAAGCAGATTTAATTTTTTACTTTATACATTACAAGTCACAATGCAGACAGTAATGCTTAATTGGTCACTTACTTCTAAGGGGTAACAGTCCTCACAGAGAGAAAGGTTGACATGTGTGAAACGTAACTCTCTTCACTAATGTGGATTTGTGCCACCTTGCTCCGTTCACAATATTGTCCACGTCTCTGCACTCTACCTACTATAATTACCGATACTCTCTCCTGAGTTCTTTATAGTCTCTCTCAATCATACTATTTATACATGAACAACTTGTCATACATCACTCAGCCTCTCATCCAACCAATCGGCTCACAATTCACGTTCACACCACCATGTTTACCTTCATTCAATGATTATAAATAAAAATATAATGCCCATCAAGCAAATGGTATCAAATCATTACAGCTAATAGTAATACTAATAGAATTACACATTTCTTTTTAGAAACAAAATGCCATTTTACCACTAATTAAAAAATGAACTTTTCCATCATGGGAAAAATGTTTCATTTAAATGTTTTTAAATTATCAATATAAACTAATTTGGTAATCTTGATAATTTATTCCAATTTTTTATGGTATTAAGTTCAAAAAGATTAGTATGATCTCCTCATTTTACTATTGAGGGATGAGTTTGTGAACATTTGTAATTGGCTTAGAATCCTTTTGTTGTTTTCAAGACATGATCTATTGCAAAATCATACACAGTAAAATAATGCTTGATAACATCTCAGAAAATCATCACTAGCTCTAAGCCACATATCATCAATATAAGCAATATACTTCTAAAATTAAAATTTGTACAAGACATACCGTTAAGTAGCCTTGACAATCTGATATCAATATGAACAAATCTCACAACATACACAAATTAAATGAAGCTCACAGACAACTCAAAAAAAAAAAAAAAATTAATTCATCTTCTATTCAATAAAGGGATGTAAAATTTGAAAAGTAAGACAAAAAAACCGCCCAAGTCCATTTCATAGATGCATTGGCTTTCCACTTTTGAACAATCCCAAAATGCTCATTTTCCCAAGTAGCAGGCAAAAGAATTTCGAAGTGTCTACACGTCCGGCGCGCCCATGGTTGGTCAGCTCTAGTTTGATAGATGGCACTTAATTATTTAGATGCCACCTAAGTTGACTCTGGTTTGTGGTGAGTAAAATGAGAGGCAGTGTTAGTGATTTTATGTATCTGGATGGAACCAAATTGCTCTATTATTCATCTGTTTGCAATGGTGTTTATTTCGCTACTGACATATATTTCATTACTTTCCCGCTTTT